CAAGTTTCTCCCCACTCCAATTCATTCTCCATTCAGCCACTAAACTGATTTTCCTAAAAAACAGGTCCAATCATGCGACACCATCCCCTCCACTTAATAAACCCCAGGGGCTTTCTATCACCTCTAGGATCAAATACAAAATATTCCATTTGACATTCAAAGCCTTTCACAACCTAGCCGCCTCCTACCTTTCCAGTCTTCTTACACCTTACTCCCTGACACATATTCTTTGATTAGTGACACTAGAGTCTTGGCTGGTCCTGAATGAGACAATCCATCTCTTAGCTTTAGGTATTTTGTTTGTCTCTCACCTTACCCAGAACACTCATACTCACTCCAAGTACTAACCTCCTTAGCTTCTTTTAAGACCCAACCAAAATCCCACCTTACAGGAAGCCTTCTCCAAGCCCTCTTAATCTCAGTGTCTTCCCTCTGTTAATTATTTCCTATTTATCCTGTACATAGCTTGCTTTGCATATATTTGTTTGCAAGTTGTCTTAGCAATAAATTGTAAGCTCTTTCAGGGCAAGGACTGTTTTTTGCCTCTTTTTGTATCCCCAGTACCTAGGACATAGTAGGTACTTAACAAATGTTTGATTGATTGATGATCTCTAAAGTCCTTTCCACCTCTAAATCTATAATTTTGTGATTCTAAATCAGAGAATGTGAACCTATGATCCTTTAAAGTATCAAAGTATTATCATAATTGTTTATACTTGCTTAACTATTTAAGCTTAATTTTAGAATAAGTCATTTTGGACAAAAAAATGAATTAATATTTTAAAAAATCTAAGTGCCATATTACCTCCATCTGGCCCTACAATTCATTTATTCTTTTTTTGCAGTATTCTAAATTTGTCCCCAAGAGAGAATTGATTAATTTTTTAAGGATGGCTTCACATGAAAGAACCACAAAATTAAAATGAAAGCTTATTTTATCTTACTTTATCAGCAGATGGCTAAACTAACTCAAAAAAACAACTGTATAATTAAATTTTATACTACAAAGAGCAATCTGCTTTTTGAAAATCTTTGTAACAATATTCTGCCCAAATTTCACTAGATTTGATAATACTGAGATATGACAGAAACAAAGAGAAGTGTTAAATAGCTACTAGAAGTAAGAGACTATTGCCATTATATAAGGCATCTGAGAATGGTTAAAGGGACACAATGAATATACCATTCTGTAGTTATTGCTACTGTTTAGATCCCTTCAACAGAATGTAAGCTCCTTGTGAGCAGGAACCATTTTGCTTTAGGCACCTATTAAATGCTGATTGATTGATCAGTGGAAATAGAGAATTTGTATTCAATTACCAGCTCTGATATTCACCTGCCTGACTTTGGAGGGGTCATTTACCTCTTTGGTTATGTTTCCTCATTGGTAAAATAAAAGGATTGGACTAGATAACCTTTAAGGTCCCTTTCTACTCTGAATTTATAAATTTATGTAAAATTATATTAGCTACTATCATTTTCATTAATAATAATGTTGATGATGATGATGTTGATAAATTTATTTAATTGAAGTTGAGCAGGAGAAAGAAGCTCTATCACTTCCTCTTCAGTCTTTAATCAAAATGGATGAGGGGCTAATGTTAGCTCCCTTAATATTCTTGTCACTTAAACCCATGGGTGTGCTGAAGCTAGCTCAAGCTGACATGAAAGAGCTGATTGTTAAATTTTCAGTGTGAGCATTTACACCAGAGAAAATGGAAAATGCTACAAATCCAGGCTTGGTTTATTGTTTTATTGGTTTCTTGCCTTAAAAAAGTGATGTTGAAAATGTTAATAGAACCACTGAAAAGATCAATTTCCAAAAGATTTATTATGTACAAATTATACATATTAGTCCTTAGTAGAGTATTTTTCTTTTTCTTTTGGTTGCTTGATGTACAATATGTTTTGTATGAAGGTAGTAAAAAATAAACTTTGATCTTCCAAAACAAATTCAGGTTAAGCTTAAAAGTATGTCATGAAAACATTTTTTTTCAGGGAGTCTGTTATTAAACACTTAGCACACCCCTGTTTAAAGTTAAAAAGGAAGAAGGGGGAAATGAGAATATGAAGTGACTACAAAGGGACACCTAGGGAAATTGCAAGGTAGGAGTTTGTAGGAATCTAAGGAAGAAAATTAAGAGGAATTGAAGGAAAGTTATTAGTTATGGACCAAATGAAAAAAAAAGGGACAATGAGAATATACGGCAAATGGGCCCTATTATGTCAGAGTAACATGTTAAAATACTTACTTTTTCACAAAGAATCTAGGTAAGTATGAAATTGGTTGGCAAGATACAGTGAGAAAGTAACTAAGGATAACAGCTGTCATTAAGTGTTTTTTTCTTTTTTTTTTAGGTTTTTGTTTTTTGCTAGGCAATGGGGTTAAGTGACTTGCCCAGCATCACAAAGCTATTAAGTGTCAAGTCTAGGCCAAATTTGAACTCAAGTCCTCCTGACTCCAGGGCCAGTACTCTATCCACTGCACCACCTCGCTGCCCCACCATAAAATCTTAAAGCACCTTAAAGCACAGTTGACTTCAGTGTAGATCTCTTTACCTAAGCCTATTTGTATAAGCACAAGCTTACATATTTAAGCAAATATAAACAATCTCCTAAAGTAGGGTCAGCTGCTCCATGCTACAAAAGCTCACCTCTTTAACAACAATATTCTAACAGTGATATTCTACAGCCACAACTCATGGAATGCCACCATCTCAGAAGAATTAAAATCATGAGTCACCCAAAGGGGCAGTGGAAATATATGTAAAGGGATAAAGTCACCTATAATATGTTACCAAAAACGATTTGTACATGTGAAGCAAGATGAAAGTCATCACCAAGGACAGGCAGTTTTACAGAATAGAGAGAGAATAGTTGAATCTCTGATCCTAGGACCCACATTCAGATCCCAACTCCATCATTTGCCACCTGGGCAATCTTGAAAAACCATTTAAACTAACTGGGCCTCAGTTTCCTCATATGCAAAATGAGAGTGTTGGTCTATATAACCTCTGAGGTCCCTCCCAGCTATAGCTTTATGACCCTATGAGCAGAAATGTAGTGGCTATATATTAATGACACATGAATGTCAAGAAAAGGAGATAGTGTAGTCATGTAGGAAGACAGAAGAACAATAGATGGACATCCTGAGTGCTAGCTACATTGATATTTGCAAAATATTTTAAAAGAAAACCTTCTAGTGCACTGAGAAATCCTCTTTGAACTATATTGGAATTAACAATAACTAAAAATCAACATATTACATATATTTAACTTATCACCACAACATGAATTTGACCTACTTACTATGAAAATAGAAATAGAATAAAAGTAGGTTTTGTTTTGGGGGGGGAGTTTTGCGAGGCATTCAGGGTCAAATTATACATAGGGTCACACAGCTAGTGAGTATCATGTGTCTGAGGCCAGATTTGAACTCAGGTCCTCCTGACTCCAGGGCCAGTGCTCTATCCACTGTGCCATCTAGCTGTCCCTTTTTGTTTGTTTTTAAGGAAAAACTATGGAGGAAATTACTCATGCTAAAACTAAAAGTTGACAAATTAAAACTAATTTCCTAGCAAACTTTCTGTTTCTGGCCAATTTATAAACATAATATTTCCAAAACACATTTGAAGATCATCCGTACGTATGGGGACTTTCTTAAGCAACATGCCATAATGGAAAGGGTACTAGATGTGAATCTGGGTTCAAATATCACCTCTGACACCTTAGACAAGTTACTTAAGTAGTAACCTATGCCACCTACCTGCCTCTCTTTCACTTTCCTCATCTATAAAAAAGGAGGGTATTGGACCTAATGATCTTTAATGTCCCTTTCAGTTCTAAATCTATGAGTTTATGTTTTTGCTGTTCAGTCATTTCAGTCATGTCTAACTCTTCGTGACCCCATTTGGGGTTTTCTTGACAAAGATTCTAGTTTGCCATTTCCTTCTCTAGCTCCTTTTACAGATAAGGAAACTGGAGCAAACAGGTTAAATAATTTGCCCAGGGTCACCCATCAAGTAAGTGTCTGAGACCAGATTTGAACTCAGGAAGCTGAGTCTCCCTAATTTGACAGTCTAATGTATTAGCCTGGAATAAAGTCAAAGCTTCAGTTTCTTCCTCTATAAAATGAGCCATCTGGATTAGGTGATCTCTAAAATCTCTACAAGTCCCTAAGGTCATAATCTTTTGAACTGAACAACTTGTCAATATGGGAACTCAATATATTTTAGATACATGGGTGGCCAAGAAAAAAAGAGAAATAGCATTAACCATTATTTACTCCTCAGTTTTAGAGTGTGACATAAACAAGGTTTGAATCCCAGCTTTGTCACTTGCTATCTGTGTGTCCTTGGATAAGGGAGGATAGAAAGGAACAAGTATTAATTAAGTACCTACTATGTGCCAGGCATCACACAATGTGCTTTACAAATATTATCTCACATAACCCTGTGAGGTAGGTGCTCTTCATACTCCCATTTTATAGTTGAGAAGACTGAAGTCGATAAGAGGTTAAATGACATGTCCAGGTCACATAGCTAGTAAGTGTCTGAGAGCAAAGATGAGCTCAGGTCTTCTTGACTGCAGGCCCAGAACTCGATTAGCTACATCACCTAGCTACTTCTCTTTTAATGTCTTCATCAGTAAAAAGAAGATGTTGAACCTGATGATATTTAATGCCCCTGTCATCTATAAATCCATTAGTTTGTGAACCTGATCCTATTATCTAACAGGTTACATTGGGGGAAAAAACCAAATCTACATCATACAAAGTGAAGTAGAAACTGAGACAAAAGTCCTAGATAACTCAGCCTGAAGAAAACTTCTTTTCCCTGAAATACCAAGATGTAAGTAGAGTTTTTTGCTTGAATGATTTGAATAATGACCTCAATTATCTATTTCATTTTGTTATTATAAACCTGGCCATGATTAAATATGCTAAACACAAATCATTTAAATGACTTGTCAATCCTGCTTAACCCAAGTCATTTGCATACCTTGTTTGAGCGCAAAGACACTCGCCCTCCACAGCGCGCGCAGAATTTTGTTTGGCAATATGAACAGTTATGGCCACATCCATCGGCAAACTTTGTTTTATGGCAGATGCCACAAGTGGGAGCATCACCCTTCTGCTCCTGATGCTGCTGGGATTCTTCCCCCATTTTCTTGACCTGCTCCTTGTACATTTCAAACTGCTGGTGCAATTTCCTGTTAGGAAAACAGATTAAAAAAAAATTAGGCTCCCAATGAAAAAAACAAATAATTCAGTTCTTCAAAAAAAATATTATCTTAAGATTATGTAACATTTATTATAAGAAAGCTTTGAAAATGTTCAAAACAACACAGACATAATATTTAGTAGAACGTAGAAAACAAAATAATGCAATTTGATCATTTCAAGAGGAATGTCTCTTTGGGACATTCAGTCATGACAATGCTGCAGAAAGTTTGGCTCTCTTTATGAATATTAGCTCAGACCTAAATTCATCACATAGATATAACCATAGGGAGAGAGCCAACTGGACATCTATTTGGCATAAGACATGTTGAACTAGATTTACTTGAGTCTAATTCTAAAATTATCTCTTATAACCTATAAGATACCCAGATATCATTATGCCTTTTAAATACTATGTTAAAATGATGTAAGACTAGCTTATGAGAGGAAACATGTCATAGTAGTGAGAGTCCTGGGCTTGGAGTTAGAAGGCCTATATCCAAATACTGTATTGGGAATTTGCTAGTTGCATGATCATGACCAAGTTGCTTAACCTCTCAAAATCTCTATTTACCCATCTGTAAAATGGGAATAATAATACCTGAAGTACTTGTTTCAAAGGGCTGTAATGAGAATCAGATATGATAATATATGGGAAGGGCTTCACAAATCTTAAATTGATTGATGATGATGATGATAACAATAATAATAATAACCTATACTTTTGTAGTACCTTATAGCTGGTAATGTAGCTTCCATGCATTTTCTCATTTAATCTTCATGACCATCCTATAAGGTATCTACTACAAGTATCATTAGCTTCATTTTTAAAACGAGGACAATGAGTCTGGGAGGGGTCATAGAATCATAAATCCAGAGCTAAAAAGGACCTCTACTCCAGACACTTCATTTTATAGGTGAAGAAACTGATGTTCAAGGAGGTTGAGTGACTTGTCCGAGGTCACCTAGATATCAATCTTCAGAATGGGTATTTGAACACAGATCTTCTGACTCCAGAAATAGTGGTTTTTCTACTGTACCACTGTACTTTACCCCTCACACAATAAAGATGCTAGTAAATGTCAGAAATGGGATTTGAACTCAGTTTTCTCCCGACTGCAGGTCCAGAACTCTTTTCATAAGATCATGATATTACTATTATTATTTTGGAGCAATTAAAAATGGAGTTCATTTGGCAAAAGAAATATAAGACTAAGACTTTCTTGAATCTAATTCTAAAATCTCAACAACATTCACAGTATAGGGATTCCCCCTTTATTATACTTTTGAGTGATTTTTTAAAAAATTATTTCCAACTAAAAATGGTTTCATGTTTTTTACTAAGAGGATAAGAAGGGGGCTGATCCCCTTTTGGCTTTTAAAGTAAAACTGAGACCCATGAGCCTCACATAGCTGAGACCTAGTATCGGTGGGGGTGCCTGCAAGACTCAGACATCATGAGGGACACGGGATGATTGGCTTCACTAATTGGTTAAATCTGTTTAAGAGTCTGGATGCCAGTTGGCAGACAAAATAGTGAGAAATATTAGAAGTGGAACCAGAGAAGCTGTACCAAAAAAAAAAGTAGAGCCAAGTTTTAAAGACATAGAGGATGACCCACCCCCATACCTCACCTCCACCCAAAAACAAGTGGTTTGAAGTTTCAGTTAATCTAGTTCTAAACAAAAATTTAAATTTACAGAATATTTCTGAAATTTTCAAAACTTTTTTTAAATGGCTTCAAACATTTTTCTAAAGTCAGTGACTATTAGAAAAAAAGGGCTACAGAGGTCCTGACACCCATTCCTCAGTTTCTTCCACTTGTAATAGCTGTCTGCTCTTGGTGCCTCTACCTTTTCACTAACTTACTTTTCAATCCCTTTCAATCTAACTTTCAACCTCATCACTCAACTGAAACTGCTTTCTTCAAAGTCACCAATGAGCTCTTGACTGCCAAATCCAACTGCCCATTTTCATTCCTCATTGTTTTCGATCTCTCTGCAGCACCTGACGATGATGATCACTCTCTCCCTTCTCTTCATTTTCCAGACACTGCTCTCTCCTGCTTCTTCTCCTACATATGTGAATACTCTTTCTTAGTCTCCATTCCTCCATTGTTATTGACATCTTTCCACCTCTTAGTAGTTGTGTCCCAAGGCTCTGTCCTGGGCCCTGTTCTCTTCTTTCTCTAAATTTTCTCATCAGCTCCTATGGATTCAATTATTATCTCTATGCAGATAAACTCACAGATCTATATATCCAGCCCTATTCTCTCTCCTGAGTGACAGGCCTACGTAAGCAGCCATGTTTGGGGCATTTCTATCTAAATATTTAATAGATGTCTCAAACTTAACATGGCCAAAACAGAAATTATCTTTTTACCCAAAACCCACCCTTCTGAACCTCCCTATGACTGTTGGGGCAGATGACCAATTCCCCATTCACAAGCTCAGAGTGATCCTTGATTCTTTATTCTCCTTTACCCACTGGATTTAGACAGTTGCAAAATCTCATCAATTCTACCTCCACATTTCTCACATCTGTCCTCTTCTCTCTACTCATATGGTTACCATCCTTATTCAGTCTTTCATGGCCTGTCACCTGGACTATTACAATAGCCTCCTAATTGGTCTCCCTGCCTCCAGTCTCTTTTCTCTCTAAAACATGAGGTGGACCCACAATGGATAGGTAAGACTTGTTCTGCTTGGTGTCAGGTGACAGAATCAGGAGTAAGAGATCTAAGTTGCAAAGAGTGAAATTTATGCCTGAAATCAAGAAAAAAATCTTTCAAACAATTCAAGGCATCCAAAAGTAAGATGGGTTCCCTAGGGAGGTAATCTCTCATTAGAGATCTTGAAGCAAAGGCTGAATGATGAGTTGTCAGGTATGTTGTAGTAGATTCCTTTTCAGGTACAAGTTTGGTTTACCTGGACACTGAAGGCCCTTCCAACTCTGAAATTCTATGATTTTAAGATTAATTTTTTCCACACCATATTTAAATTATAAGGAAGCCAGATAGTTTTCTTGACCTTGACTCTAACCACAAATAGCTCATTGTTTTTCCCTGCCTGTACTCCCACTGTGCCTGGGTATAGCTCTGAGAGGTACACAGATGGTATCAAGGCAGGGGTTGACAACCTATGGCCTCTGTACACAAAGAAGGTATGCTATCCAACTTTCAGGGTTTAAAAATGGGTACAGAGGCAACCAAAACCAGAGTGGAAGAAACAGACTAGAAGGATAGGAGGAGTCATGAAAAAGGTGAACAGCGAATTTAGCTTGTAAGGGAGTAGATATAGACTAGTGTAAAAAGATAGAGAGTAGAATTTCAAAGTTCTGAATCTTACCTATGATGTGTTCCTATTATATAACAACAAACATTTGTATGTCTAATCTTGGGCCATTTTCCCAATAGTCTTGCCAACTGCCTTGTTTCTTAGATCACAGATACTGCCCTAAAGGTTTAAATCCTTTCATCTCTGGCACCTCTGTCCAGAGTACTGGCTATTCTGTTTGGTGGCTGCCTCACCTGGCTCACTATCAAATCAACTCTACCATTATTTTTGAAAGGGATGAGTTAATCACTTTCCTAAAGGCTCCATTTACCATCCCTATAATTTTCCAATTCAAAGTATCCCTACTTGGCTAGCATTCCTCTTTGGACGTAGTATTCCTCCATTACAATGCAAGCTCCTTAAGGGTAGGGAATATTTTTGCTTTTGTATCTGTGATTCTCTTCTTCCACTCCCACCCCCCCCAGCTCCCCACTCCCACCCCAGTACTTTACATAGTGCTTAGCGCATAGGAAGCACTGAATAAAAGGGTTTTTTTCATCCATTAATTCACTGTTTCTAGTGTATACGAGTTACCTCCACCTTCATACAATTTGTGAAAAATAAGAGTCCATCTTTCACTTGTAAAAGCCAGTGTCCTCTACCATTCCACCTTTTGAGAGTTAGCTGAGGAATCTTCTCCCTTTTCTCACACCTTTCTCCTTAGAGTAAACAGCTTTCCCCATCACCATTCCAAACACTCATCAAAGAAGAACAAAGATTAAAAACTGGAAAAGTATAACCCCAACATTATGCCAATCTATACTCTCACCCGGGACATGATAATATTGGAAAGATGCTGTGATAGGAAAAACATGGTAATATGCCAACCAGCTTTCACAGAAGAACAGAGATACCTTTACCGTAAGTTGGTTGAAATAGACCACAGGAGTTTCAAGAGGGCAGGATATGAGTTTATCTAAATGTATTTCAACTAGTCATATACAGTAGAGTGCTTTAATAAGTTTGTGGAATAGAACTGATCTGAACTGAACAGAACTGAACTGGATTAAACAGCCTAAAAAATTAAAGAATAGAGCATAACATCGGCTGTGCTATTCATTTATCCAATCTTAGATGAAAGGGAAGAGAATGGCAAGAAGAAAATGGTATAGATATGGTAATTTCCACACCTTGCCTAGAAAAGTATGCATCGAAGTACCCTTCTTGTAGCTAGTACAGGAGAACTCAGACACTTTCAAAAGTAATACAAGAATAACACAGATAAAAACAATGCTGAGCAACATCACAATAATGTTTAAAAATAAATATTGTAATAATCGGTTCACATCTTATTTCTATTATGTATTAGAAAAACTTTTTATGTTGCTTAAAAAGAAAATCAGAGAAGCATATCAAAAGGTCTCTCAGTCAAAACATTCATATGAAATTTCATATTTAGTTTAAGATTCTTTATCTTTAACAGCTGTTTTTCAGGGTGATACTTCAAAGATTTTGTTTCTTTTTTATATTAAGCCAGTATGACTAATTTCCTGTAGGAAATTAAACTCAGAGGTCAATTTCCTCAACAAAACCTGTATGAATTCACTAGATACAGAAATCTTTGGAACTGAAAATGTCCTAATCCCACTCACAAAATGAAATAATCTTGATAATAACTCTTGTGGTTAGAAATAATAAAACTGAACTCAATAACT